CCTTTAATAATTATTATATCATGACGGAACTGTAGGTCTTAATTGGTCTCCAGAATGTGATCTATTGTCCACCCACAACACTCTCCCTGGAGTTATTATCCACCCACAACACTCTCCCTGGAGTTATTGTCCACCCACAACACTCTCCCTGGAGTTATTGTCCACCCACAACACTCTCCCTGGAGTTATTGTCCACCCACAACACTCTCCCTGGAGTTATTATCCCCACACAACACTCTCCCTGGAGTTATTGTCCCCACACAACACTCTCCCTGGAGTTATTATCCACCCACAACACTCTCCCTGGAGTTATTGTCCACCCACAACACTCTCCCTGGAGTTATTGTCCACACACAACACTCTCCCTGGAGTTATTGTCCACCCACAACACTCTCCCTGGAGTTATTGTCCACCCACAACACTCTCCCTGGAGTTATTATCCACCCACAACACTCTCCCTGGAGTTATTGTCCACCCACAACACTCTCCCTGGAGTTATTGTCCACCCACAACACTCTCCCTGGAGTTATTGTCCACCCACAACACTCTCCCTGGAGTTATTGTCCACCCACAACACTCTCCCTGGAGTTATTATCCACCCACAACACTCTCCCTGGAGTTATTGTCCACCCACAACACTCTCCCTGGAGTTATTGTCCACCCACAACACTCTCCCTGGAGTTATTGTCCACCCACAACACTCTCCCTGGAGTTATTATCCACCCACAACACTCTCCCTGGAGTTATTGTCCACCCACAACACTCTCCCTGGAGTTATTGTCCACCCACAACACTCTCCCTGGAGTTATTGTCCACCCACAACACTCTCCCTGGAGTTATTATCCACCCACAACACTCTCCCTGGAGTTATTGTCCACCCACAACACTCTCCCTGGAGTTATTATCCACCCACAACACTCTCCCTGGAGTTATTGTCCACCCACAACACTCTCCCTGGAGTTATTGTCCCCACACAACACTCTCCCTGGAGTTATTGTCCACCCACAACACTCTCCCTGGAGTTATTGTCCACCCACAACACTCTCCCTGGAGTTATTGTCCACCCACAACACTCTCCCTGGAGTTATTATCCACCCACAACACTCTCCCTGGAGTTATTGTCCACCCACAACACTCTCCCCGTAGTTATTGTCCCCACACAACACTCTCCCCGTAGTTATTGTCCACACACAACACTCTCCCTGGAGTTATTGTCCACCCACAACACTCTCCCCGTAGTTATTGTCCACCCACAACACTCTCCCTGGAGTTATTGTCCACCCACAACACTCTCCCTGGAGTTATTGTCCCCACACAACACTCTCCCCGTAGTTATTGTCCCCACACAACACTCTCCCCGTAGTTATTGTCCCCACACAACACTCTCCCTGGAGTTATTGTCCCCACACAACACTCTCCCCGTAGTTATTGTCCCCACACAACACTCTCCCTGGAGTTATTGTCTCCACACAACACTCTCCCTGGAGTTATTGTCCACCCACAACACTCTCCCCGTAGTTATTGTCCACCCACAACATTCCCCCTGGAGTTATTGTCCACCCACAACACTCTCCCTGGAGTTATTGTCCACCCACAACACTCTCCCTGGAGTTATTGTCCACCCACAACACTCTCCCTGGAGTTATTGTCCACCCACAACACTCTCCCTGGAGTTATTGTCCACCCACAACACTCTCCCTGGAGTTATTGTCTCCACACAACACTCTCCCTGGAGTTATTGTCCACCCACAACACTCTCCCTGGAGTTATTGTCCACCCACAACACTCTCCCTGGAGTTATTGTCCACCCACAACACTCTCCCTGGAGTTATTGTCCACCCACAACACTCTCCCTGGAGTTATTATCCACCCACAACACTCTCCCTGGAGTTATTGTCCACCCACAACACTCCCCCTGGAGTTATTGTCCACCCACAACACTCTCCCTGGAGTTATTGTCCACCCACAACACTCCCCCTGGAGTTATTGTCCACCCACAACACTCCCCCTGGAGTTATTGTCCACCCACAACACTCTCCCTGGAGTTATTGTCCACCCACAACACTCTCCCTGGAATTATTGTCCACCCACAACACTCTCCCTGGAGTTATTGTCCACCCACAACACTCCCCCTGGAGTTATTGTCCACCCACAACACTCCCCCTGGAGTTATTGTCCCCCCACAACTCTCTCCCTGGAGTTATAGAGCCAAGCTTCAGACGGGACCCGTACCAATACATGACCAGCCCCCTGCCACAGTGTATCACAGTGTTGAGTCAGCTCCAGTGTTGTCACACAGTCATCACAGCCAGGGAGCAGTAACATCATCACAGCCAGGGAGCAGTAACATCATCACAGCCAGGGAGCAGTAACATCATCACATCCTGGGAGCAGTAACATCATCACAGCCTGGGAGCAGTAACATCATCACATCCTGGGAGCAGTAACATCATCACAGCCAGGGAGCAGTAATAAGGTAACGTCTATTTATACATTTATTATACTTGTCATTTAGATACTTAGTATACATATAAAGCCGCGCTAAATGAAAGTTATTCACACTGACAAAAACCACAGTAATCTTCGTGAATTATTTACTAAATTACATTGTGTATGTAACGTTAACGACTGTGTAGCTAGATCACTAGACTGTCACGTGCTTAGTTCAACCAACTATGGGGTTCTGTTACTGAACCAACTATGGGGTTCTGTTACTGAACCAACTATGAGGTTCTGTTACTGAACCAACTATGGGGTTCTGTTACTGAACCAACTATGGGGTTCTGTTACTGAACCAACTATGGGGTTCTGTTACTGAACCAACTATGGGGTTCTGTTACTGAACCAACTATGGGGTTCTGCTACTGAACCAACTATGGGGTTCTGCTACTGAACCAACTATGGGGTTCTGCTACTGAACCAACTATGGGGTTCTGCTACTGAACCAACTATGGGGTTCTGTTACTGAACCAACTATGGGGTTCTGTTACTGAACCAACTATGGGGTTCTGTTACTGAACCAACTATGGGGTTCTGCTACTGAACCAACTATGGGGTTCTGCTACTGAACCAACTATGGGGTTCTGCTACTGAACCAACTATGGGGTTCTGCTACTGAACCAACTATGGGGTTCTGTTACTGAACCAACTATGGGGTTCTGCTACTGAACCAACTATGGGGTTCTGTTACTGAACCAACTATGGGGTTCTGTTACTGAACCAACTATGGGGTTCTGTTACTGAACCAACTATGAGGTTCTGCTACTGAACCAACTATGGGGTTCTGTTACTGAACCAACTATGGGGTTCTGCTACTGAACCAACTATGGGGTTCTGTTACTGAACCAACTATGAGGTTCTGTTACTGAACCAACTATGAGGTTCTGTTACTGAACCAACTATGGGGTTCTGTTACTGAACCAACTATGGGGTTCTGCTACTGAACCAACTATGGGGTTCTGTTACTGAACCAACTATGGGGTTCTGTTACTGAACCAACTATGGGGTTCTGTTACTGAACCAACTATGGGGTTCTGCTACTGAACCAACTATGGGGTTCTGCTACTGAACCAACTATGGGGTTCTGTTACTGAACCAACTATGGGGTTCTGTTACTGAACCAACTATGGGGTTCTGCTACTGATCCAACTATGGGGTTCTGTTACTGAACCAACTATGGGGTTCTGTTACTGAACCAACTATGGGGTTCTGTTACTGAACCAACTATGGGGTTCTGTTACTGAACCAACTATGGGGTTCTGCTACTGAACCAACTATGGGGTTCTGTTACTGAACCAACTATGGGGTTCTGTTACTGAACCAACTATGGGGTTCTGTTACTGAACCAACTATGGGGTTCTGTTACTGAACCAACTATGAGGTTCTGTTACTGAACCAACTATGGGGTTCTGTTACTGAACCAACTATGGGGTTCTGTTACTGAACCAACTATGGGGTTCTGCTACTGAACCAACTATGGGGTTCTGCTACTGAACCAACTATGGGGTTCTGTTACTGAACCAACTATGGGGTTCTGTTACTGAACCAACTATGGGGTTCTGCTACTGATCCAACTATGGGGTTCTGTTACTGAACCAACTATGGGGTTCTGTTACTGAACCAACTATGGGGTTCTGTTACTGAACCAACTATGGGGTTCTGTTACTGAACCAACTATGGGGTTCTGCTACTGAACCAACTATGGGGTTCTGTTACTGAACCAACTATGGGGTTCTGTTACTGAACCAACTATGGGGTTCTGTTACTGAACCAACTATGGGGTTCTGTTACTGAACCAACTATGAGGTTCTGTTACTGAACCAACTATGGGGTTCTGTTACTGAACCAACTATGGGGTTCTGTTACTGAACCAACTATGGGGTTCTGCTACTGAACCAACTATGGGGTTCTGTTACTGAACCAACTATGGGGTTCTGCTACTGAACCAACTATGGGGTTCTGTTACTGAACCAACTATGGGGTTCTGTTACTGAACCAACTATGGGGTTCTGCTACTGAACCAACTATGGGGTTCTGTTACTGAACCAACTATGGGGTTCTGTTACTGAACCAACTATGGGGTTCTGTTACTGAACCAACTATGGGGTTCTGTTACTGAACCAACTATGGGGTTCTGTTACTGAACCAACTATGGGGTTCTGTTACTGAACCAACTATGGGGTTCTGCTACTGAACCAACTATGGGGTTCTGCTACTGAACCAACTATGGGGTTCTGCTACTGAACCAACTATGGGGTTCTGCTACTGAACCAACTATGGGGTTCTGCTACTGAACCAACTATGGGGTTCTGCTACTGAACCAACTATGGGGTTCTGCTACTGGGTATGGGGGGCATAATAAATGAAAATATAAAAGTCACTGTGGAAATACTGATGAAGGGAAGGGAACCATCAGGCGAGAGCGCCAAGCCATTATACTCATAAAGGCTACACAACAAGTAAACAATGATATCAGACTTAGATAATAATGTTATCCCAAGATGTCATCAGACTCCTCCACCGCCTCTCCTACACCGCCTCTCCTACACCGCCTCTCCTCCACCGCCTCTCCTCCACCGCCTCTCCTACACCGCCTCTCCTTCACCGCCTCTCCTACACCGCCTCTCCTACACCGCCTCTCCTCCACCGCCTCTCCTACACCGCCTCTCCTACACCGCCTCTCCTACACCGCCTCTCCTCCACCGCCTCTCCTCCACCGCCTCTCCTTCACCGCCTCTCCTACACCGCCTCTCCTACACCGCCTCTCCTCCACCGCCTCTCCTACACCGCCTCTCCTACACCGCCTCTCCTACACCGCCTCTCCTACACCGCCTCTCCTCCACCGCCTCTCCTCCACCGCCTCTCCTCCACCGCCTCTCCTCCACCGCCTCTCCTCCACCGCCTCTCCTCCACCGCCTCTCCTCCACCGCCTCTCCTCCACCGCCTCTCCTCCACCGCCTCTCCTCCACCGCCTCTCCTCCACCGCCTCTCCTCCACCGCCTCTCCTACACCGCCTCTATTCACCCCATAACTATAAAGTATTTAAAAAGCATAAAAACTATCACTTCATCTACGAGATATACATCACTATGGCACATTAATATATAATAATATTCTTGAGAAGTGAGGAAGCTCTCAGCCTCAGGTCTGTAGTTCTTAGTGAACCCGTGACGGGAAGGGGGGCGGGGGGGGGGGGGGGGGGGAGGGGGGGATGGGGTTGGGGGGGGTGGGAGGGGAGGGGAGGGCACCTAACTCCTAACTACAAGTTTATATAAGAGGGTTGCCATGACAACCATCTGGCATGTGTCTCACTTGCACGTGTCAGCCATTCCTTGGCACTGACACTGTCACCGTTCTTACAATGGTCTTCCTGGCAACCTCCACAATTCTATGGTCTCCTCTTGACACTGCAGTAGTGTCTGATCACCTCACACTCCTCCACAAATGCTGTAACTTCTTGCGCAACTGGCTATAGAGGCGGCACTTACGGCCCGGGTAGTTGTGGGCCCTCACTCACTTGAAGTAGTCACTATAAATAAATGTCTATGTAGGCAAGTTTAATTCCTACCTTCATTGTAAGATAATCTGAGCCTGAACTCTTCTATGAGGCTGTCACTTCAATGCTTCTCCCTTCACCGAAGAAATAGTGGTCCAGGTCATAGTATAATAGTGGTCCAGGTCATAGTATAATAGTGGTCCAGGTCATAGTATAATAGTTGTCCAGGTCATAGTATAATAGTTGTCCAGGTCATAGTATAATAGTTGTCCAGGTCATAGTATACCACTTACTGCAATCACAATGTCTGCAGCATCAGACCTTCTCTACCCCTCCCGTGACTGCTACTGATCACTCCAGGTTAGTTGAGAGTCTCAGGCGTGCTGCCCACCATAACAATTCTTCCTTCCTCTTCACTAGATATTTATAGGAGGCTGGATGCAGAAAACAGTGGTCCAACAGCCACTAACATTCCTGGAGTATGGTGGAGGCTCCTAGATCCATCAATCAGCAGTCCACCCCTGGCACCTCACTGTCTCTTTGAAATGTGATTCTTCACCTGAAATTACTCTCTCAGTCATCCCTGTGCCATACGAGCTCTCTTGACTCTTCTTTTTACGCCCGGATTCGTTGCACCGAGTCTGATGTTTGCCAGCTAAGGAACACCTCACATTTAGTCAGCTCTTGATCAGCTCTCAGATCACAGCGTAACCTGTTCTCGCACTTGCTTACTGTCAGTATTGGCTGATTTAATAAGTGCATATGTGACATACTAATTGATTGTGAATATTTTAGTTTACCTTGAAAAGCTTCATAGAAAACACCGACCTCACCTTACCTTCTTAGTATGTTAAGATAAGCATCTTATTGCTTCTTATTATACAATTATTACTTAACCTATCAACGGTATAGGTTAAGTAATAATTGTAATTAAGAAGCAATAAGATGCTTATCTTAACATACTAAGAAGGTAAGGTGAGGTCGGTGTTTTCTATGAAGCTTTTCAAGGTAAACTAAAATATTCACAATCAATTAGTATGTCACATATGCACTTATTAAATAAGCCAATATTGACCGTAAGCAAGTGCGAGATCGGGTTGCACAGTGAGGACTCCAGGGCCAATCAGCTGCCTCACAGCAATACCTGGGAGTTACCTGCCTCTATACCTGGCAGTTACGTGAACTCGGGTCATGATTCGATTGGTGGGTCAATACAACACTAAAGGCAATCAGGTCGTACACTTACACCTGGGCTCCTTGTCCCGGCTCCGCCCTGGCTGTGCCCTGGCTCTGCCCTGGCTCCGCCCTGGCTGTGCCCTGGCTCTGCCCTGGCTCCGCCCTGGCTGTGCCCTGGCTCTGCCCTGGCTCCGCCCTGGCTGTGCCCTGGCTCTGCCCTGGCTCCGCCCTGGCTGTGCCCTGGCTCTGCCCTGGCTCCGCCCTGGCTGTGCCCTGGCTCTGCCCTGGCTCCGCCCTGGCTCCGCCCTGGCTCTGCCCTGACTCCGCCCTGGCTCTGCCCTGGCTCTGCCCTGGCTCCGCCCTGGCTGTGCCCTGGCTCTGCCCTGGCTCTGCCCTGGCTCCGCCCTGGCTCCGCCCTGGCTCTGCCCTGGCTCTGCCCTGGCTCCGCCCTGGCTCTGCCCTGGCTCTGCCCTGGCTCTGCCCTGGCTCTGCCCTGGCTCTGCCCTGGCTCCGCCCTGGCTCCGCCCTGGCTCTGCCCTGGCTCTGCCCTGGCTCTGCCCTGGCTCTGCCCTGGCTCTGCCCTGGCTCCGCCCTGGCTCCGCCCTGGCTCCGCCCTGGCTCTGCCCTGGCTCTGCACTGGCTCCGCCCTTGCTCCGCCCTGGCTCCACCATGGCTCCACCCTGGCTCCACCCTTGCTCCGCCCTTGCTCCGCCCTGGCTCCACCCTTGCTCCGCCCTTGCTCCGCCCTGGCTCCACCCTTGCTCCACCCTGGCTCCACCCTGGCTCCACCCTGGCTCCACCCTGGCTCCACCCTGGCTCCACCATGGCTCCACCATGGCTCCACCCTGGCTCCACCCTGGCTCCACCCTGGCTCCACCATGGCTCCACCATGGCTCCACCCTGGCTCCACCCTGGCTCCACCCTGGCTCCACCATGGCTCCACCATGGCTCCACCATGGCTCCACCCTGGCTCCACCATGGCTCCACCATGGCTCCACCCTGGCTCCACCCTGGCTCCACCATGGCTCCACCATGGCTCCACCCTGGCTCCACCCTGGCTCCACCCTGGCTCCACCCTGGCTCCACCATGGCTCCACCCTGGCTCCACCATGGCTCCACCCTGGCTCCACCATGGCTCCACCCTGGCTCCACCATGGCTCCACCCTGGCTCCACCATGGCTCCACCCTGGCTCCACCATGGCTCCACCCTGGCTCCACCATGGCTCCACCCTGGCTCCACCCTGGCTCCACCATGGCTCCACCCTGGCTCCACCCTGGCTCCACCATGGCTCCACCATGGCTCCACCCTGGCTCCACCATGGCTCCACCCTGGCTCCACCATGGCTCCACCCTGGCTCCACCATGGCTCCACCATGGCTCCACCCTGGCTCCACCCTGGCTCCACCATGGCTCCACCATGGCTCCACCCTGGCTCCACCCTGGAGATGTTAATCTGTGCCTGGAGTGATGACACTCTATGCTCACCATTTTCAAAATCACAGCCTAGACCACCATCGGAAATTCATATTTACAAAAGCATCACAGCAAAAATACATCCTATTCCTAAGCTGAACTAAAAGTTCCCTTGGGTCATCTGAGACGTCTGTGTATCACCCTGCCAGGCTGCGAGATGGGTCTTATAGACGGCACTCGCGGCGGTGGGGGGGGGGGGGGGGCGGTGAAGGGACGGTGAAGGGGAGGGGGGAGGAGGGGACGGTGAAGGGACGGTGAAGGGGAGGGGGGAGGAGGGGACAGTGAAGGGGAGGGGGAGGGGAGGAGGGGACGGTGAAGGGGAGGGGGAGGGGAGGAGGGGACGGTGAAGGGGAGGGGGAGGGGGGGACGGTGAAGGGAGTGGGGGAGGGGACGGTGAAGGGGAGGGGGAGGAAGGGAGGGGGGGGGGGAGGGGGTTACTATAGAGACAGAGCAGGGAAGCCACCCGAGCGCCTCATCACAGTGAGGTTGGCAGAAAAAAACTCATTACCAATTCATTAATAAAATTACTCGATATTTGGTGTTAATTGTTGTAAATGTGATTATTAATAGTTTTATATATTTTATTTGACTGGTAATCGTAAACATTATTGATGCCGTCAAAGTCTGACAATTGTTCATATTACATGTATGTGAGGGGTTTATCTTGTGCGTGCGTGCGTGCGTGCACTCAGAGGCGCAAGCAGGTAAAGGCTGGTACAGGTACAGTGGCAGACAAAGGCTGGTACAGGTACAGTGGCAGGTAAAGGCTGGTACAGGTACAGTGGTAGACAAAGGGTGGTACAGGTACAGTGGCAGGTAAAGGTTGGTACAGGTACAGTGGCAGACAAAGGCTGGTACAGGTACAGTGGCAGGCAAAGGCTGGTACAGGTACAGTGGCAGACAAAGGCTGGTACAGATACAGTGGCAGACAAAGGCTGGTACAGGTACAGTGGCAGGCAAAGGCTGGTACAGGTACAGTGGCAGACAAAGGCTGGTACAGGTACAGTGACAGACAAAGGCTGGTACAGGTACAGTGGCAGGTAAAGGCTGGTACAGGTACAGTGGCAGGTAAAGGCTGGTACAGGTACAGTGGCAGGTAAAGGCTGGTACAGGTACAGTGGCAGGTAAAGGCTGGTACAGGTACAGTGGCAGGTAAAGGCTGGTACAGGTACAGTGGCAGGTAAAGGCTGGTACAGGTACAGTGGCAGGTAAAGGCTGGTACAGGTACAGTGGCAGGTAAAGGCTGGTACAGGTACAGTGGCAGGCAAAAGCTGGTACAGGTACAGTGGCAGGCAAAGGCTGGTACAGGTACAGTGGCAGGTAAAGGCTGGTACCGGTACAGTGACAGACAAAAGCTGGTACAGGTACAGTGGCAGACAAAGGCTGGTACAGGTACAGTGGCAGGTAAAGGCTGGTACAGGTACAGTGGCAGGCAAAGGCTGGTACAGGTACAGTGGCAGGTAAAGGCTGGTACAGGTACAGTGGTAGACAAAGGCTGGTACAGGTACAGTGGCAGGTAAAGGCTGGTACAGGTACAGTGGCAGACAAAGGCTGGTACAGGTACAGTGGCAGGTAAAGGCTGGTACAGGTACAGTGGCAGACAAAGGCTGGTACAGGTACAGTGGCAGGTAAAGGCTGGTACAGGTACAGTGGCAGACAAAGGCTGGTACAGGTACAGTGGCAGGTAAAGGCTGGTACAGGTACAGTGGCAGACAAAGGCTGGTACAGGTACAGTGGCAGGTAAAGGCTGGTACAGGTACAGTGGCAGACAAAGGCTGGTACAGGTACAGTGGCAGGTAAAGGCTGGTACAGGTACAGTGGCAGACAAAGGCTGGTACAGGTACAGTGGCAGGTAAAGGCTGGTACAGGTACAGTGGCAGACAAAGGCTGGTACAGGTACAGTGGCAGGTAAAGGCTGGTACAGCTGAACACCAGAAGATTTGTGAGAAACTTAAAACTTTTCTGAGGTGATCAAGAGGAAAACAACTCTAAAGAAACTGACAAGCAAAGATGTGGTGGACGTAGATGTGGTGGACGTAGATGTGGTGGACGTAGATGTGGTGGACGTAGATGTGGTGGTCGTAGATGTGGTGGACGTAGATGTGGTGGACGTAGATGTGGTGGACGTAGATGTGGTGGACGTAGATGTGGTGGTCGTAGATGTGGTGGACGTAGATGTGGTGGACGTAGATGTGGTGGTCGTAGATGTGGTGGACGTAGATGTGGTGGTCGTAGATGTGGTGGACGTAGATGTGGTGGTCGTAGATGTGGTGGACGTAGATGTGGTGGTCGAAGATGTGGTGGACGTAGATGTGGTGGACGTAGATGTGGTGGTCGTAGATGTGGTGGACGTAGATGAGGTGGACGTAGATGTGGTGGTCGTAGATGTGGTGGACGTAGATGTGGTGGACGTAGATGTGGTGGTCGTAGATGTGGTGGACGTAGATGTGGTGGACGTAGATGTGGCGGACGTAGATGTGGTGGACGTAGATGTGGTGGACGTAGATGTGGCGGACGTAGATGTGGTGGACGTAGATGTGGTGGACGTAGATGTGGTGGACGTAGATGTGGCGGACGTAGATGTGGTGGACGTAGATGTGGTAGACGTAGATGTGGGGGGACGTAGATGTGGTGGACGTAGATGTGGTAGACGTAGATGTGGGGGACGTAGATGTGGTGGACGTAGATGTGGTAGACGTAGATGTGGGGGGACGTAGATGTGGTGGACGTAGATGTGGTGGACATAGATGTGGTGGTCGTAGATGTGGCGGACGTAGATGTTGTGGACGTAGATGTGGTGGTCGTAGTTGTGGGGGGACGTAGATGTGGTGGACGTAGATGTGGTGGACGTAGATGTGGTAGACGTAGATGTGGGGGGACGTAGATGTGGTGGACGTAGATGTGGTGGACGTAGATGTGGTGGTCGTAGATGTGGGGGACGTAGATGTGGTGGACGTAGATGTGGTGGTCGTAGATGTGGGGGGACGTAGATGTTGTGGACGTTGATGTGGCGGACGTAGATGTGGTGGACGTAGATGTGGCGGACGTAGATGTGGTGGACGTAGATGTGGCGGACGTAGATGTGGTGGACGTAGATGTGGCGGACGTAGATGTGGTGGACGTAGATGTGGTGGTCGTAGATGTGGGGGGACGTAGATGTGGTGGACGTAGATGTGGTGGACGTAGATGTGGTAGACGTAGATGTGGGGGGACGTAGATGTGGTGGACGTAGATGTGGTGGTCGTAGATGTGGGGGACGTAGATGTGGTGGACGTAGATGTGGGGGACGTAGATGTGGTGGACGTAGATGTGGTGGACGTAGATGTGGGGGACGTAGATGTGGTAGACGTAGATGTGGTGGACGTAGATGTGGTGGACGTAGATGTGGTAGACGTAGATGTGGTGGACGTACAGTAGATGTGGTGGACGTAGATGTGGTGGACGTACAGTAGATGTGACAGAAGCAATTCGAGGACCGTGACCGTACAAAGACTATAAACACAGACAAAGTGTCACCCTTGGTGTTGAAGGCCGCTCCATCACGTGGAGAACTGCCAGGTAGCTGGAAAAAGGCTAATGAAGATCCAATATTTAAAACAAGGGACACACACTAAACCCTGAACCACAAGTTCCTGTCACTGGCAAGCACACCATACAAGGTAGTCCCCCGCCACCAACAAGCACACCATACAAGGTGGCCCCCCGCCACCAACAAGCACACCATACAAGGTAGCCTCCCGCCACCAACAAGCACACCATACAAGGTGGCCCCCCGCCACCAACAAGCACACCATACAAGGTAGCCCCCACCACCAACAAGCACACCATACAAGGTAGTCCCCCGCCACCAACAAGCACACCATACAAGGTGGCCCCCCGCCACCAACAAGCACACCATTCAAGGTAGTCCCCCGCCACCAACAAGCACACCATACAAGGTAGCCCCCCACCACCAACAAGCACACCATACAAGGTGGCCCCCCGCCACCAACAAGCACACCATACAAGGTAGTCCCCCGCCACCAACAAGCACACCATACAAGGTAGCCCCCCGCCACCAACAAGCACACCATACAAGACAGTCTCCGCCACCAACAAGCACACCATACAAGGTAGCCCCCCACCACCAACAAGCACACCATACAAGACAGTCCCCCACCACCAACAAGCACACCATACAAGGTAGCCCCCCACCACCAACAAGCACACCATACAAGGTGGCCCCCCGCCACCAACAAGCACACCATACAAGGTAGTCCCCCGCCACCAACAAGCACACCATACAAGGTAGTCCCCCGCCACCAACAAGCACACCATACAAGGTAGCCCCCCACCACCAACAAGCACACCATACAAGACAGTCTCCACCACCAACAAGCACACCATACAAGACAGTCCCCCACCACCAACAAGCACACCATACAAGACAGTCCCCACCACCAACAAGCACACCATACAAGGTAGCCCCCCGCCACCAACAAGCACACCATACAAGGTAGCCCCCCACCACCAACAAGCACACCATACAAGACAGTCTCCACCACCAACAAGCACACCATACAAGACAGTCCCCCACCACCAACAAGCACACCATACAAGACAGTCTCCACCACCAACAAGCACACCATACAAGACAGTCCCCGCCACCAACAAGCACACCATACAAGACAGTCCCCCACCACCAACAAGCACACCAGACAAGACAGTCTCCACCACCAACAAGCACACCATACAAGGTAGCCCCCCACCACCAACAAGCACACCATACAAGGTAGCCCCCCACCACCAACAAGCACACCATACAAGACAGTCTCCGCCACCAACAAGCACACCATACAAGGTAGCCCCCCACCACCAACAAGCACACCATACAAGGTAGCCCCCCACCACCAACAAGCACACCATACAAGGTAGCCCCCCACCACCAACAAGCACAACATACAAGGTAGCCCCCCACCACCAACAAGCACACCATACAAGACAGTCTCCGCCACCAACAAGCACACCATACAAGGTAGCCCCCCACCACCAACAAGCACACCATACAAGGTAGCCCCCCACCACCAACAAGCACACCATACAAGGTAGTCCCCCGCCACCAACAAGCACACCATACAAGGTAGCCCCCCGCCACCAACAAGCACACCATACAAGACAGTCTCCGCCACCAACAAGCACACCATACAAGGTAGCCCCCCACCACCAACAAGCACACCATACAAGACAGTCCCCCACCACCAACAAGCACACCATACAAGGTAGCCCCCCACCACCAACAAGCACACCATACAAGGTGGCCCCCCGCCACCAACAAGCACACCATACAAGGTAGTCCCCCGCCACCAACAAGCACACCATACAAGGTAGTCCCCCGCCACCAACAAGCACACCATACAAGGTAGCCCCCCACCACCAACAAGCACACCATACAAGACAGTCTCCACCACCAACAAGCACACCATACAAGACAGTCCCCCACCACCAACAAGCACACCATACAAGACAGTCCCCACCACCAACAAGCACACCATACAAGGTAGCCCCCCGCCACCAACAAGCACACCATACAAGGTAGCCCCCCACCACCAACAAGCACACCATACAAGACAGTCTCCACCACCAACAAGCACACCATACAAGACAGTCTCCACCACCAACAAGCACACCATACAAGACAGTCCCCCACCACCAACAAGCACACCATACAAGACAGTCTCCACCACCAACAAGCACACCATACAAGACAGTCCCCGCCACCAACAAGCACACCATACAAGACAGTCCCCCACCACCAACAAGCACACCATACAAGACAGTCTCCACCACCAACAAGCACACCATACAAGGTAGCCCCCCACCACCAACAAGCACACCATACAAGGTAGCCCCCCACCACCAACAAGCACACCATACAAGACAGTCTCCGCCACCAACAAGCACACCATACAAGGTAGCCCCCACCACCAACAAGCACACCATACAAGGTAGCCCCCCACCACCAACAAGCACACCATACAAGGTAGCCCCCCACCACCAACAAGCACAACATACAAGGTAGCCCCCCACCACCAACAAGCACACCATACAAGACAGTCTCCGCCACCAACAAGCACACCATACAAGGTAGCCCCCCACCACCAACAAGCACACCATACAAGGTAGCCCCCCACCACCAACAAGCACACCATACAAGACAGTCTCCACCACCAACAAGCACACCATACAAGACAGTCCCCACCACCAACAAGCACACCATACAAGACAGTCCCCCACCACCAACAAGCACACCATACAAGACAGTCCCCCGCCACCAACAAGCACACCATACAAGACAGTCCCCCACCACCAACAAGCACACCATACAAGACAGTCTCCACCACCAACAAGCACACCATACAAGACAGTCCCCCACCACCAACAAGCACACCATACAAGACAGTCCCCCACCACCAACAAGCACACCATACAAGACAGTCCCCACCACCAACAAGCACACCATACAAGACAGTCTCCACCACCAACAAGCACACCATACAAGACAGTCCCCACCACCAACAAGCACACCAGCCCTAGAAGCCCTAAAAGAAAAGCAAAATGCAGATGTTGTATACACAGACTTTGCAAAGGCGTTCGACAAATGTGACCATGGGGTGATAGCTCACAAAATGAGGTCAATGGGAATAACTGGAAAAGTAGGACGCTGGATACTCAATTTCCTGTCGAACAGAACACAAAGAGTAACAGTCAATCAGATAAAATCGAATCCAAGCGATGTTAAAAGCTCTGTACCTCAAGGTACAGTCCTTGCACCGCTACTGTTCCTTATTCTCATATCTGATATAGACAAAAATACACGCCACAGCTTCGTGTCGTCCTTTGCAGATGACACAAAAATCAGCATGAAAATTACCTCTGCTGAAGACATTGAAAAACTACAAGCAGATGTCAACAAAGTTTTTGATTGGGCAGCAGAAAATAACATGATGTTTAACAGTGATAAATTTCAGGTACTCAGGTACGGCAAAAATGAGGATCTGAAACATAATACAGGGTACAAAACACAATCGAATCTTCCCATAGTAGAAAAACAGCATGTCAAGGATTTGGGAATAATGATGTCCGACGATCTAACGTTTAGGGAGCATAACCAAGCAAATATCGCGTCAGCCAGAAAAATGATCGGATGGATTACGAGAACTTTCAAATCCAGGGATCCCATCACAATGGTTGTACTCTTCAAGTCACTTGTGCTGTCCCGTCTCGAGTACTGCTCAGTACTCACTTCCCCCTTCAGAGCAGGAGAGATTGCTGAAATAGAGGGAATACAGAGAACATATACGGCACGCATAGACGAGATAAAACACCTAAATTATTGGGATCGTCTCAAAGCTCTCCAAATGTACTCTCTAGAAAGGAGACGAGAGAGATACCAAATAATATACACATGGAAAATACTGGAGGGTCAGGTCCCAAATCTACAGAGTAAAATAACAACGTACTGGAGTGAACGATTTGGAAGAAAATGCAAGATTGAACCTGTGAAGAGCAGAGGTGCCATAGGCACAATCAGAGAACACTGTATAAACATCAGGGGTCCACGGTTGTTCAACGTCCTCCCAGCGAGCATAAGAAATATTGCCGGAACAACCGTGGACATCTTCAAGAGAAAACTGGACGGTTTTCTAAGAGAAGTTCCGGATCAGCCGGGCTGTGGTGGGTACGTGGCCCTGCGGGCCGCTCCAAGCAACATCCTGGTGGACCAAACTCTCACAAGTCGAGCCTGGCCTCGGGCCGGGCTTGGGGAGTAGAAGAACTCCCAGAACCCCATCAACCAGGTATCAACCAGGTATCACACCATACAAGACAGTCCTCACCACCAACAAGCACACCATACAAGACAGTCCTCACCACCAACAAGCACACCATACAAGACAGTCCTCACCACCAACAAGCACACCATACAAGACAGTCCTCACCACCAACAAGCACACCATACAAGACAGTCCCCCACCACCAACAAGCACACCATACAAGACAGTCCTCACCACCAACAAGCACACCATACAAGACAGTCCTCACCACCAACAAGCACACCATACAAGACAGTCTCCACCACCAACAAGCACACCATACAAGACAGTCCCCTACCACCAACAAGCACACCATACAAGACAGTCCCCGCCACCAACAAGCACACCATACAAGACAGTCCCCGCCACCAACAAGCACACCATACAAGACAGTCCCCCACCACCAACAAGCACACCATACAAGACAGTCCCCCGCCACCAACAAGCACACCATACAAGACAGTCCCCCGCCACCAACAAGCACACCATACAAGACAGTCCCCCACCACCAACAAGCACACCATACAAGACAGTCTCCACCACCAACAAGCACACCATACAAGGTAGCCCCCCACCACCAACAAGCACACCATACAAGACAGTCTCCACCACCAACAAGCACACCATACAAGACAGTCCCCGCCACCAACAAGCACACCATACAAGACAGTCCCCGCCACCAACAAGCACACCATACAAGACAGTCTCCACCACCAACAAGCACACCATACAAGACAGTCCCCGCCACCAACAAGCACACCATACAAGACAGTCCCCCGCCACCAACAAGCACACCATACAAGACAGTCTCCACCACCAACAAGCACACCATACAAGACAGTCCCCCGCCACCAACAAGCACACCATACAAGACAGTCTCCACCACCAACAAGCACACCATACAAGACAGTCTCCACCACCAACAAGCACACCATACAAGACAGTCCCCCACCACCAACAAGCACACCATACAAGACAGTCTCCACCACCAACAAGCACACCATACAAGACAGTCCTCACCACCAACAAGCACACCATACAAGACAGTCTCCACCACCAACAAGCACACCATACAAGACAGTCTCCACCACCAACAAGCACACCATACAAGGTAGCCCCCCACCACCAACAAGCACACCATACAAGACAGTCCTCACCACCAACAAGCACACCATACAAGACAGTCCTCACCACCAACAAGCACACCATACAAGACAGTCCTCACCACCAACAAGCACACCATACAAGACAGTCCCCACCACCAACAAGCACACCATACAAGACAGTCTCCACCACCAACAAGCACACCATACAAGACAGTCTCCACCACCAACAAGCACACCATACAAGACAGTCTCCACCACCAACAAGCACACCATACAAGACAGTCTCCACCACCAACAAGCACACCATACAAGACAGTCCCCACCACCAACAAGCACACCATACAAGACAGTCTCCACCACCAACAAGCACACCATACAAGAAAGTCTCCACCACCAACAAGCACACCATACAAGACAGTCCCCGCCACCAACAAGCACACCATACAAGACAGTCTCCGCCACCAACAAGCACACCATACAAGGTAGCCCCCCACCACCAACAAGCACACCATACAAGACAGTCTCCACCACCAACAAGCACACCATACAAGACAGTCTCCACCACCAACAAGCACACCATACAAGACAGTCTCCACCACCAACAAGCACACCATACAAGAAAGTCTCCACCACCAACAAGCACACCATACAAGGTAGCCCCCCGCCACCAACAAGCACACCATACAAGAAAGTCTCCACCACCAACAAGCACACCATACAAGATAATAAAGAGATAATAAAGAGATAATAAAGAGATAATAAAGAGAATATCAGCACAAAGTATCGTCTAGCAGCTAAACAAACTTGGTCTCGTAAACATGGCTGACCTTAGATGATAAATATGACCTAAAAAACTGCGCAATTTTATGATGAAATGATCAGACAGGAACAAGTTGTTGGGTTGACTGCGTATTTCTTGACTGTCAGAAGGCCTCAACATAGTTCCATATACATGTCGTCTCTTCCTTTACGCACCCACAAAATAGGAGGCCTGGTCGAAGACCGGGCCGCGGGGACGCTAAGCCCCGAAATCATCGCAAGGAAACCCATGTGAAAAAAAAGAAAAAAACCGGCTTCTGAACATTGAATACCAAGGTTAAGTGAGTAAGAAAGTGTTAAATTGTGAGAAGGAGTACCTAACGGGGGTAGATCAGAATGTGAGAGGGGAAGCATGAAAGGTGTGAGTGACAACTACCACAGGAGTAAACCATCTACAATATCCTACATGACTGACGCAGTACATGCAGATGGGCTCACAGTAATTACTAGGATAAAGACGGAGGTGGACAGCACGATGTTCCCGGAAGACCTTAACAAACCCCACAGCAAGTAAGAGATGGCAACTGGATTCAAACAAGTGGCACTGAAACTAAACAAGTGCCATTGGAGCCAAATAAGTGCCACTAGACACAAACAAGTGGCAAGTAATGTGAGTGTGGGCAGGTGAGAGGAGACGGAGCAGACGAGCACATAATAAAGAGGCAGCCGTTGCCAAAGTCAAGAGGAGGAGGAGGAGGAAGACCTCCCAGTAGACCTCAGCTCAACTCTCTCACCAGACGCAAACCTCTACACAATATCATTAGCAACATACCGCTGTTCAGCCCCAGCCCCCACTCTCAACACAAGCACAGCATTACAGTCAAGAAAGTGCTACAAGACTGGTCCCAGAGCAGAGTTATTACAGCCTTGGAACATGGCTTTCCTTTACTCTGGTGGAGAGTAAATATTAGGACTACCCTGGTCGGCTTCTCACACCACCATTCTCCTCAGTTGTATATATCTATCGTTGCTACCTCACCTGGTTTTGCTCTCCAGACCAATGTTTCTCCAGTCTATCTTGCTATGGTTGAAGTCACCCGTAACTAAGACGGTCTTCATACATTCCTAATTGCAATTCCCGCAGCCGGCCGTGGCGGCAGTGTTGTTTGTTAGTCACAACTTTAGGTATTGTGACCTTTGGTGCACAGTTGTACTACGTACAATGTACAATGTACAATGTACTACGTACAATGTACTATGTACAGTACTACGCTTAGTTGTATATTACTGCTACTGTACCCTCGGGGCTCCCAGTGTTATGGTGCAAGGTACCGCGTGTGTATGCACAAGACAAACTCGTACGTTCTTTTTTATGCATGTAAAAACATTTGTGTGCGTGAGTGCGTGCTTGTGCGTGGTAATGCAACCCGTCCTCTTAAAAAGAACGTCACTTTTGGCTGGTATGCGCACTATGGCCAAATTTGGACGTAATTTGAAATGAAATCCACTCACAAAAGTGACGTTCTGTTCCGTTTTCTATTTGAGTCGTCCGGCGTACGCGCAGAGGTTATAACAGGACACTTTAAATTAACGTTTTTCTTAACGTTTTGAAACTTTATGAGAATTTCCTGCCCACCTAACCTATCAGAGGACCCTTAACTTACTGTTGTTGAAAAAAAAAATCCCAAATTTATTTTCATATTTTTTTCAATTTCAAATTACGTCCAAATTCGGCCATACGGGCAAACGGCCAAAAGCGACGTTCTTTTTAAGAGGACAGGTTGGTGTGAGGCCCTCCACCTCCACCGTCATAACCCGGACAAGACAGGAGCCGGTTAACCACTCCGGCTTACCGGTAAATATAATTTCGTTGACATAACATAAATAGGCCAACTTATATAAGTTACGGCCAAAGAATATAGCATAAAAATGAGTATCAGGTAAGAAGGCTTAGCAGAGCCAGGGATGAAGGCTCCCCGTCCCCGGGAGCGGTGTCCGGTGACCCCTGCTCTTTGGTTTTTACAAATCCTGGCTGACACGGGGTTATATATTCATAGTTTTGTAAACTTGGTTTGTCTCTGTAACTGTTTTCCTCCAACTGTGTTTCTTCTCCATTGTTTGATCTTTTGTCCCATGTTGGGCCAAGTGTCATCTTCAGACTCTCTCTGGTTTATATTTCCCGTCTTATCTTGATCTTGAGGTAATCTTGAGATGATTTCGGGGCTTTAGTGTCCCCGCGGCCCGGTCCTCGACCAGTCCTCCACCCCCAGGAAGCAGCCCGTGACAACTGACTAACACCCAGGTACCTATTTTACTGCTAGGTAACAGGGGCATAGGGTGAAAGAAACTCTACCCATGGTTTCTCGCCGGCGCCTGGGATCGAACCCGGGACCACAGGATCACAAGCCCAGTGTGCTGTCCGCTCGGCCGACCGGCTCCCTGCTGTACCACGGAACACCGCCACTTGTCACGGCTCTCAACCACTAACTACTCTTCTCAACCACTAACTACTCTTCTCAACCACTAACTACTCTTCTCAACCACTAACTACTCTTCTCAACCACTAACTACTCTTCTCAACCACTAACTACTCTTCTCAACTACGTAAACAACCAATGAGTAAATACATGCAGCACCTAGACAATTAAGAATGGCTGCTAAACAAATAAATGAAGCCACTGAACAAGTAAAACAGCCCCTGAAGCAGCAAACACAAACTATGCCCCCTGAGAGGCAACATTGACAAGGTGATTGGTGTGTAAGCTCGTGTCACGGCCTTAATGACCTCCGGAGGCTAATAAGCCTCAGCCACACACTGAACCAAACCGTGATTTAATATTAACCTTAACATCTATTTCACCCTTGTGAGTCCCAGCGTGCACTGTGCACCACCTTTACTCGCTCTATTATGTAATGAATGTATATTATACTGAAAATATATCGAGAAGAATGACTAGGTGAATTTCGGGCATTAATTATCTCCGCCATTAATAGTCTTAAGAACATTCTGGTCACATTGACTAGAGAAGCGACCAGTATGGCGGGACATGATTGAAGTATACAAAATAATAGAGACACATAACCAGGGGGTATTAATAGCAATATAAAACAATAGTCTCCGAACACGAACTCAAATTGGTTACGTTTAGAATTAGAGCAGAAATGGGCAGGAACTGGTTGGTGTCTGGCATGTGAGGCAAAGGTTGCCAAGTTCCATCATAGAAGTAAGCTTGCTGAACGAGTGCTTCGTGGGACGTACTTACCTGGGAGTGGCTGGGTATAAATTAGAGGTGCATCACATGGGTCACTATTCTGGTGTTCCTACACTACTCCAACACCACTCCCTCCCTATTCCTTCTCCTTCTCCTCCTCCTCCTCTTCATCTTCCCCCTTCCGTTGGTTCACTTCCCTTCCTCCTACCGCCCTCCTGTTCCATCCCACCAACACCTCCCCCACCACCTCCATGTCAACCTCCGCCATGGCATTCAGGAGACAAAATAGACTCTTTGTCTCCCCTGAGGCCCCGACCTGTGCATTGAAGGTTAAATGAAATTCTGTGTGGTGTGTTTCTGTTGTGTGGTGTGGGCGCGCTTCTCTGTTTATAGCGGCGACAAGAGACATCCGTTCAGCCTCCCTCCTGCACGCACATTACCAAAATATGAAAATAAATTTGGGATTTTTTTTTCAACAACAGTAAGTTAAGGGTCCTCTGATAGGTTAGGTGGGCAGGAAATTCTCATAAAGTTTCAAAACGTTAAGAAAAACGTTAATTTAAAGTGTCCTGTTATAACCTCTGCGCGTACGCCGGACGACTCAAATAGAAAACGGAACAGAACGTCACTTTTGTGAGTGGATTTCATTTCAAATTACGTCCAAATTTGGCCATAGTGCGCATACCAGCCAAAAGTGACGTTCTTTTTAAGAGGACGGGTTGCTCACACAACTAACAGGACGGTGGTGGAGGTGGAGGGCCTCACACATCAAGACCGTAAGTGTGTTTCGCAAGTGTTTTCATTTGTTTTGAACATATCAGACAATATAAATCAGAAGTGTGTCTTCAATTACATTGTGAGGTTCATGAGCCGTGACGGAGCACACGAGTCCACCTGTCACTAAACATTTGGTCACATGTTGACCTCGGCACTCAAGGTGTTTCTTAACTAACTGACGCCATCACCATTTGTAGAGCTTTTGGTAATTAAAGACAAATGCGAAACAAGTCATTCTACTCTCATCCCACTATCCCTCCCCGCCCCTTTCTCCCATCCCATCTTCCATGCTGTCCCGCTCCCCACTATCCCCTCATGCTCCCCTACCCCTGCCCCACTAGCCCCTCATGCTCCCCTACCCCTGCCCCACTAGCCCCTCATGCTCCCCTACCCCTGCCCCACTAGCCCCTCATGCTCCCCTACCCCTGCCCCACTAGCCCCTGCCCCTGCCCCACTAGACCCTCATGCTCCCCTACCCCTGCCCCACTAGCCCCTCATGCTCCCCTACCCCTGCCCCACTAGCCCCTCATGCTCCCCTACCCCTGCCCCACTCGCCCCTCATGCTCCCCTACCCCTGCCCCGGTAGCCCCTGCTGCTCCCCTAAACCTGCCCCACTAGCCCCTCATGTTCACCCTACCCTGCCCCACTAGCCCCTCATGCTCCCCTACCCTGCCCCACTAGCCCCTCATGCTCCCCCACCCCTGCCCCACTATCCCCTCATGCTCCCCTACCCCTGCCCGGTAGCCCCTGCTGCTCCCCTACCCCTGCCCCACTAGCCCCTCATGCTCCCTACCCCTGCCCCGGTAGCCCCTGCTGCTCCCCTACCCCTGCCCCACTAGCCCCTCATGCTCCCCTACCCCTGCCCCACTAGCCCCTGCTGCTCCCCTACCCCTGCCCCACTAGCCCCTCATGCTCCCCTACCCCTGCCCCACTAGCCCCTCATGCTCCCCTACCCCTGCCCCCACTAGCCCCTAGCCCCATGCTCCCCTACCCCTGCCCCACTAGCCCTCATGCTCCCCTAGCCCCCCCTCATGCTCCCCTACCCCTGCCCCACTAGCCCCTCATGCTCCCCTACCCCTGCCCCACTCGCCCCTCATGCTCCCCTACCCCTGCCCCCACTAGCCCTCATGCTCCCCTACCCCTGCCCCACTAGCCCCTCATGCTGCTCCCCTAAACCCCTGCCCCACTAGCCCCTCATGCCCCTCATGCTCCCCTACCCCTGCCCCACTAGCCCCTCATGCTCCCCTACCCCTGCCCCGGTAGCCCCCCTGCCCCACTAGCCCCACTACCCCTGCCCCTCATGCTAGCCCCTCATGCTCCCCCACCCCTGCCCCACTATCCCCTCATGCTCCCCTACCCCTGCCCCGGTAGCCCCTGCTGCTCCCCTACCCCTGCCCCACTAGCCCCTCATGCTCCCCTACCCCTGCCCCGGTAGCCCCTGCTGCTCCCCTACCCCTGCCCCACTAGCCCCTCATGCTCCCCTACCCCTGCCCCACTAGCCCCTGCTGCTCCCCTACCCCTGCCCCACTAGCCCCTCATGCTCCCCTACCCCTGCCCCACTAGCCCCTCATGCTCCCCTACCCCTGCCCCACTAGCCCCTCATGCTCCCCTACCCCTGCCCCACTAGCCCCTCATGCTCCCCTACCCCTGCCCCACTAGCCCCTCATGCTCCCCTACCCCTGCCCCACTAGCCCCTCATGCTCCCCTACCCCTGCCCCACTAGCCCCTCATGCTCCCCTACCCCTGCCCCACTAGCCCCTCATGCTCCCCTACCCCTGCCCCACTAGCCCCTCATGCTCCCCTACCCCTGCCCCACTAGCCCCTCATGCTCCCCTACCCCTGCCCCACTAGCCCCTCATGCTCCCCTACCCCTGCCCCACTAGCCCCTCATGCTCCCCTACCCCTGCCCCACTAGCCCCTCATGCTCCCCTACCCCTGCCCCACTAGCCCCTCATGCTCCCCTACCCCTGCCCCACTAGCCCCTCATGCTCCCCTACCCCTGCCCCACTAGCCCCTCATGCTCCCCTACCCCTGCCCCACTAGCCCCTCATGCTCCCCTACCCCTGCCCCACTAGCCCCTCATGCTCCCCTACCCCTGCCCCACTAGCCCCTCATGCTCCCCTACCCCTGCCCCACTAGCCCCTCATGCTCCCCTACCCCTGCCCCACTAGCCCCTCATGCTCCCCTACCCCTGCCCCACTAGCCCCTCATGCTCCCCTACCCCTGCCCCACTAGCCCCTCATGCTCCCCTACCCCTGCCCCACTAGCCCCTCATGCTCCCCTACCCCTGCCCCACTAGCCCCTCATGCTCCCCTACCCCAGCCCCCTACCCCTGCTCCCCTACCCCCACTACCCCTGCCCCACTAGCCCCTCATGCTCCCCTACCCCTGCCCCACTAGCCCCTCATGCTCCCCTACCCCTGCCCCACTAGCCCCTCATGCTCCCCTATGCTCCCCCCCTGCCCCACTAGCCCCTCATGCTCCCCTACCCCTGCCCCACTAGCCCCTCATGCTCCCCTACCCCTGCCCCACTAGCCCCTCATGCTCCCCTACCCCTGCCCCACTAGCCCCTCATGCTCCCCTACCCCTGCCCCACTAGCCCCTCATGCTCCCCTACCCCTGCCCCACTAGCCCCTCATGCTCCCCTACCCCTGCCCCACTAGCCCCTGCTGCTCCCCTACCCCTGCCCCGGTAGCCCCTGCTGCTCCCCTACCCCTGCCCCACTAGCCCCTCATGCTCCCCTACCCCTGCCCCACTAGCCCCTCATGCTCCCCTACCCCTGCCCCACTAGCCCCTCATGCTCCCCAACCCCTGCCCCCACTCGCCCCTCATGCTCCCCTACCCCTGCCCCACTAGCCCCTCATGCTCCCCTACCCCTGCCCCACTAGCCCCTCATGCTCCCCTACCCCTGCCCCACTAGCCCCTCATGCTCCCCTACCCCTGCCCCACTAGCCCCTCATGCTCCCCTACCCCTGCCCCACTAGCCCCTCATGCTCCCCTACCCCTGCCCCACTCGCCCCTCATGCTCCCCCCCTACTAGCCCCCTGCCCCAGCCCCTCATGCTCCCCTACCCCTGCCCCACTAGCCCCTCATGCTCCCCTACCCCTGCCCCACTAGCCCCTCATGCTCCCCTACCCCTGCCCCACTAGCCCCTCATGCTCCCCTACCCCTGCCCCACTAGCCCCTCATGCTCCCCTACCCCTGCCCCACTAGCCCCTCATGCTCCCCTACCCCTGCCCCACTAGCCCCTCATGCTCCCCTACCCCTGCCCCACTTGCCCCTCATGCTCCCCTACCCCTGCCCCACTAGCCCCTCATGCTCCCCTACCCCTGCCCCACTAGCCCCTCATGCTCCCCTACCCCTGCCCCACTAGCCCCCATGCTCCCCTAGCCCCTAGCCCCTCATGCTCCCCTACCCCTGCCCCACTAGCCCCTCATGCTCCCCTACCCCTGCCCCACTAGCCCCTCATGCTCCCCTACCCCTGCCCCACTCGCCCCTCATGCTGCCCCTACCCCTGCCCCACTAGCCCCTCATGCTCCCCTACCCCTGCCCCACTAGCCCCTCATGCTCCCCTACCCCTGCCCCACTAGCCCCTCATGCTCCCCTACCCCTGCCCCACTAGCCCCTCATGCTCCCCTACCCCTGCCCCACTAGCCCCTCATGCTCCCCTACCCCTGCCCCACTAGCCCCTCATGCTCCCCTACCCCTGCCCCACTAGCCCCTCATGCTCCCCTACCCCTGCCCCACTAGCCCCTCATGCTCCCCTACCCCTGCCCCACTAGCCCCTCATGCTCCCCTACCCCTGCCCCACTAGCCCCTCATGCTCCCCTACCCCTGCCCCACTAGCCCCTCATGCTCCCCTACCCCTGCCCCACTAGCCCCTCATGCTCCCCTACCCCTGCCCCACTAGCCCCTCATGCTCCCCTACCCCTGCCCCACTAGCCCCTCATGCTCCCCTACCCCTGCCCCACTAGCCCCTCATGCTCCCCTACCCCTGCCCCACTCGCCCCTCATGCTCCCCTACCCCTGCCCCACTAGCCCCTCATGCTCCCCTACCCCTGCCCCACTAGCCCCTGCTGCTGTGTCTGACAACTTCCTCAAATGACTGAAAATACTTACAAAAATTTCGGATTTTTCTTTGTGTTATTCTTGACTTCAGAGATCGCTTTTCTTTGACATTTCTTAATATTTATTATAAACACAATATTATATATATATATATATATATATATATATATATATATATATATATATTTTTATATATATATATATATATATATATATATATATATATATATATATATATATATATATATATATATAATTTTCGGTCATATATAATAATATATGCCTACAGGAAAGACTGCTACCAAAATATACTAATATATATATATATATATATATATATATATATATATATATATATATATATATATATATATATATATATATATATATATATATATATAAATGCAGCACAAAGTTAATTACAAAAGCATATTCCAAAGTTCTGTAAAAAAAAATTCCGCACAGTTCACTTAACAATTTTGTGTAAGAGAATTGTTCTGTTTTCTGCACAGATTTTCATGTATAAAAGATGTTACATGCGCGCGCGCGCGAGCACACACACACACACAGACACTGCCAGATTTTAAGGATAAAATTCATTCAGAGTTTACCATAACTGCAAAATTATTCAGGCAATCCCCCGTGTGAAGTTCAGCGTGTTTCACGTTCACAGAACCCGTGTTTTACCCCCGTGCCACACGACTGGTGCCGGCGGGGCTGTGTTCACTCGCATCCTGTGTCACACCAGTTTACTCTCACTCTCGCTCCTCTCATTAGGAAAGTAATCCAAGAAATGGAAGTGGTGGCGGAAACTGCCGGAATCACTGAAGCCGGTCAGGGGGTCTCTAAAACCGGCCAGGAGAGTCACCAAAATCCGGCCAGTAGAGTCACCAAAACCGGTTAGGAGAGTCGCCGAAACCGGCCAGGAGAGTCGCCAAAACCAGCCAGGAGAATCACCAAAACCGGCCAGGAGAGTCACCAAAACCGGCCAGGAGAGTCGCCAAAACCGGCCAGGAGAATCACCAAAACGGGCAAGGAGTCACCAAAACCGGCCAGGAGAGTCACCAAAACCGGCCAGGAGAGTTGCCAAAACAGGCCAGGACAGTCGCCAAAACCGGCCAGGAGAGTCACCAAAACCGGCCAGGAGAGTTGCCAAAACCGGCCAGGAGAGTCGCCAAAACCGGCCAGGAGAGTCGCCAAAACCGGCCAGGAGAGTCACCAAAACCGGCCAGGAGAGTCACCAAAACCGGTCAGGAGAGTCGCCAAAACCGGCCAAGAAAGTCGCCAAAACCGGCCAGGAGAGTCACCAAAACCGGCCAGGAGAGTCACCAAAACCGGTCAGGAGAGTCGCCAAAACCGGCCAGGAGAGTCACCAAAACCGGCCAGGAGAGTCACCAAAACAGGCCAGGAGAGTCACCAAAACAGGCCAGGAGAGTCGCAAAAACCGGCCAGGAGAGTCGCCAAAACCGGCCAGGAGAGTCACCAAAACAGGCCAGTAGAGTCACCAAAACAGGCCAGGAGAGTCACCAAAACTGGCCATGCGAGTCGCCAAAACCAGCCAGGAGAGTCGCCAAAACCGGCCAGGAGAGTCGCAAAAACCGGCCAGGAGAGTCAACAAAACCGCCAGGAGAGTCACCAAAACCGGCCAGGAGAGTCACCAAAACCGGCCAGGAGAGTCGCCAAAACCGCCAGGAGAGTCACCAAAACCGGCCAGGAGAGTCACCAAAACCGGCCAGGAGAGTCACCAAAACCGGCCAGGAGTCACCAAAACCGGCCAGGAGAGTCACCAAAACCGGCCAGGAGAGTCACCAAAATCCGGCCAGGAGAGTCACCAAAACCGACCAGGAGAGTCATCAAAACCGGCCAGGAGAGTCACCAAAATCCGGCCAGGAGAGTCACCAAAATCCGGCCAGGAGAGTCACCAAAACCGGCCAGGAGAGTCACCAAAACCGGCCAGGAGAGTCACCAAAACCGGCCAGGAGAGTCGCCAAAACCGGCCAGGAGAGTCACCAAAACCGGCCAGGAGAGTCGCCAAAACCGGCCAGGAGTCACCAAAACCGGCCAGGAGAGTCACCAAAACCGGCCAGGAGAGTCGCCAAAACCGGCCAGGAGTCACCAAAACCGGCCAGGAGAGTCGCCAAAACCGGCCAGGAGAGTCGCCAGTACCGGCCAGGAGAGTCACCAGTACCGGCCAGGAGTGTCGCCAAAACCGGCTAGGAGAGTCACCAGTACCGGCCAGGAGAGTCACCAGTACCGGCCAGGAGAGTCACCAGTACCAGCAAAGAGAGTCACCAGTACCGGCAAGGAGAGTCGCCAGTACCGGCCAGGAGAGTCGCCAGTACCGGCCAGGAGAGTCACCAGTACCGGCCAGGAGAGTCACCAGTACCGGCCAGGAGAGTCACCAGTACCGGCCAGGAGAGTCACCAGTACCGGCCAGGAGAGTCACCAGTACCGGCCAGGAGAGTCACCAGTACCGGCCAGGAGAGTCGCCAGTACCGGCCAGGAGAGTCACCAGTACCGGCCAGGAGAGTCACCAGTACCGGCCAGGAGAGTCACCAGTACCGGCCAGGAGAGTCGCCAGTACCGGCCAGGAGAGTCGCCAGTTCCGGCTAGGAGAGTCGCCAGTACCGGCCAGGAGAGTCGCCAGTACCGGCCAGGAGAGTCGCCAGTACCGGCCAGGAGAGTCGCCAGTACCGGCCAGGAGAGTCGCCAGTACCGGCCAGGAGAGTCGCCAGTACCGGCCAGGAGTGTCACCAGTACCGGCCAGGAGAGTCACCAGTACCGGCCAGGAGAGTCACCAGTACCGGCCAGGAGAGTCACCAGTACCGGCCAGGAGAGTCGCCAGTACCGGCCAGGAGAGTCACCAGTACCGGCCAGGAGAGTCGCCAGTACCGGCCAGGAGAGTCGCCAGTACCGGCCAGGAGAGTCACCAGTACCGGCCAGGAGAGTCCCCAAAACCGGCCAGGAGAGTCACCAAAACCGGCCAGGAGAGTCGCCAGTACCGGCCAGGAGAGTCACCAAAACTGGCCAGGAGAGTCGCCAGTACCGGCCAGGAGAGTCACCAAAACCGGCCAGGAGAGTCGCCAAAACCGACCAGGAGTGTCGCCAAAACCGGCCAGGAGAGTCGCCAGTACCGGCCAGGAGAGTCACCAGTACCGGCCAGGAGAGTCACCAGTACCGGCCAGGAGAGTCGCCAGTACCGGCCAGGAGAGTCACCAGTACCGGCCAGGAGAGTCGCCAAAGCCAGAAGTCAAGTGATAGTGTCCCCCACTTGCCCATAACCTGGTGTGTCACTCCTGGGGCCAATAGTCGCACTTGTCCCGCTGACTCTAAATAAATGTTCTCGTTTTAATTACGAATGTCGGAGCGGATCAAAGAATATATTTTGTAATTGTACACATTCGTCATCCCGATATTTACGTCTGAACTGTAAATTAAAAATGTGTTCTGAACGCGTGAGTGTTTAATATTTATGTTGAACGATGCTACGTGCAACTGCACCCGGGTGAGGGGCTCTTAGGTGAGGGGGTCTAGGTGAGGTGGTCTAGGTGAGCGGGGTCTAAGTGAGGTGGGTCTAGGTGAGCTGGGTCTAGGTGAGGGGGGTCTAGGTGAAGGGGGGTCTAGGTGTGGTGGGTCTAGGTGAGGTGGTCTAGGTGAGCGGGGTCTAGGTGAAGGGGGGGTCTAGGTGTGGTGGGTTCTAGGTGAGGTGGTCTAGGTGAGCGGGGTCTAGGTGAAGGGGGGTCTAGTTGAGGGGGTCTAGGTGAGGGGGGTCTGGGTGAGGTGGGTCTAGGTGAGGGGGGTATAGGTGAGGGGGGTCAAGGTGAGGGGGGTCTAGGTGAGGGGGTTTAGGTGAGGGTGGTCTAGGTGAGGGGGGTCTAGGTGAGGTGGTCTAGGTGAGGGGGTCTAGGTGAGGTGGGTCTAGGTGAGGTGGTTCTATGAGAGGGGGTCTAGGTGAGGGGGGTCTAGGTGAGGTGGGTCTAGGTGAGCTGGGTCTAGGTGAGGGGGGTCTAGGTGAGGTGGGTCTAGGTGAGGGGGGTCTAGGTGAGGTGGGTCTAGGTGAGGGGGTCTAGGTGAGGGGGTCTAGGTGAGCTGGGTCTAGGTGAGGGGGTCTAGGTGAGGGGGTCTAGGTGAGGTGGGTCTAGGTGAGGGGGTCTAGGTGAGGTGGGTCTAGGTGAGGGGTCTAGGTGAGGTGGGTCTAGGTGAGGGGGTCTAGGTGAGGTGGGTTTAGGTGAGGTGGGTCTAGGTGAGGTGGGTCTAGGTGAGGGGGTCTAGGTGAGGTGGGTCTAGGTGAGGTGGGTCTAGGTGAGGGGGTCTAGGTGAGGTGGGTCTAGGTGAGGTGGTTCTAGGAGAGGGGTCTAGGTGAGGGGGTCTAGGTGAGGTGGGTCTAGGTGAGCTGGGTCTAGGTGAGGGGGTCTAGGTGAGCTGGGTCTAGGTGAGGGGGGTCTAGGTGAGGTGGGTCTAGGTGAGGTGGGTCTAGGTGAGGGGGTCTAGGTGAGGTGGGTCTTGGTGAGGTGGGTCAAGGTGAGGGGGTCTAGGTGAGGGGGGTCTAGGTGAGGGGGGTCTAGGTGAGGGGGTCTAGGTGAGAGGGTCTTGGTGAGGTGGGTCTAGGTGAGGGAGGTCTAGGTGAGGGGGTCTAGGTGAGGGGGTCTTTGTGAGGTGGGTCTAGGTGAGGTGGGTCTAGGTGAGGGGGCCTAGGTGAGGTGGGTCTAGGTGAGGGGGGTCTAGGTGAGGTGGGTCTAGGTGAGGTGGGTCTGGGTGAGGGGGGTCTAGGTGAGGGGGGTCTAGGTGAAGGGGTCTAGGTGAGGGGGGTCTAGGTGAGGGGGTCTAGGTGAGGTGGGTCTAGGTGAGGGGGTCTAGGTGAGGTGGGTCTAGGTGAGGGGGTCTAGGTGAGGTGGGTCTAGGTGAGGTGGGTCTAGGTGACGAGGTCTAGGTGAAGGGGTCTAGGTGATGGGGGTCTAGTTGAGGGGGTCTAGGTGAGGGGGTCTAGGTGAGGTGGGTCTAGGTGAGGTGGGTCTAGGTGAGGGGGTCTAGGTGAGGTGGGTCTAGGTGAGGTGGGTCTAGGTGAGGTGGGTCTAGGTGAGGTGGGTCTAGGTGAGGAGGTCTAGGTGAAGGGGTCTAGGTGATGGGGGTCTAGTTGAGGGGGTCTAGGTGAGGGGGTCTAGGTGAGGTGGGTCTAGGTGAGTGGGTCTAGGTGAGGTGGGTCTAGGTGAGGGGGGTCTAGGTGAGGGGGGTCTAGGTGAGGTAGGTATAGGTGAGGTGGGTCTAGGTGAGGTGGGTCTAGGTGAGGGGGTCTAGGTGAGGGGGTCTAGGTGAGGGGGGTCTAGGTGAGGTAGGTCTAGGTGAGGGGGTCTAGGTGAAGGGGTCTAGGTGAGGGGGTCTAGGTGAGGTGGGTCTAGGTGAGGGGGTCTAGGTGAGGGGGTCTAGGTGAGGGGGGTCTAGGTGAGGGGGTCTAGGTGAGGGAGTCTAGGTGAGGGAGTCTAGGTGAGGGGGTCTAGGTGAGGGGGTCTAGGTGAGGTGGGCCTAGGTGAGGGGGGTCTATGTGAGGTGGGCCTAGGTGAGGTGGGTCTAGGTGAGGTGGGTCTAGGTGAGGTGAGTCTAGGTGAGGGGGGTCTAGGTGAGGTGGGTCTAGGTGAGGGGGTCTAGGTGAGGGGGTCTAGGTGAGGGGGTCTAGGTGAGGGGGTCTAGGTGAGGGGGGTCTAGGTGAGGGGGTCTAGGTGAGGTGGGTCTAGGTGAGGGGGTCTAGGTGAGGGGGTCTAAATGAGACGGGGTCTAGGTGAGGGGGTCTAGAGAGGTGGGTCTAGGTGAGGGGGTCTAGGTGAGGTGGTTCTATGAGAGGGGGTCTAGGTGAGGGGGTCTAGGTGAGGTGGGTCTAGGTGAGCTGGGTCTAGGTGAGGGGGGTCTAGGTGAGGTGGGTCTAGGTGAGGGGGGTCTAGGTGACGTGGGTCTAGGAGAGGGGGGTCTAGGTGAGGGGGTCTAGGTGAGGTGGGTCTAGGTGAGCTGGGTCTAGGTGAGGGGGTCTAGGTGAGGTGGGTCTAGGTGAGGGGGTCTAGGTGAGGTGGGTCTAGGTGAGGGGTCTAGGTGAGGTGGGTCTAGGTGAGGGGGTCTAGGTGAGGGGGTCTAGGTGAGGTGGGTTTAGGTGAGGTGGGTCTAGGTGAGGTGGGTCTAGGTGAGGGGGTCTAGGTGAGGTGGGTCTAGGTGAGGTGGGTCTAGGTGAGGGGGTCTAGGTGAGGTGGGTCTAGGTGACGTGGTTCTAGGAGAGGGGTCTAGGTGAGGGGGTCTAGGTGAGGTGGGTCTAGGTGAGCTGGGTCTAGGTGAGCTGGGTCTAGGTGAGGGGGGTCTAGGTGAGGTGGGTCTAGGTGAGGTGGGTCTAGGTGAGGGGGTCTAGGTGAGGTGGGTCTTGGTGAGGTGGGTCAAGGTGAGGGGGTCTAGGTGAGGGGGGTCTAGGTGAGGGGGGTCTAGGTGAGGGGGTCTAGGTGAGAGGGTCTTGGTGAGGTGGGTCTAGGTGAGGGAGGTCTAGGTGAGGGGGTCTAGGTGAGGGGGTCTTTGTGAGGTGGGTCTAGGTGAGGTGGGTCTAGGTGAGGGGGTCTAGGTGTGGTGGGTCTAGGTGAGGGGGTCTAGGTGAGGTGGGTCTAGGTGAGGTGGGTCTGGGTGAGGGGGGTCTAGGTGAGGGGGGTCTAGGTGAAGGGGTCTAGGTGAGGGGGGTCTAGGTGAGGGAGTCTAGGTGAGGTGGGTCTAGGTGAGGGGGTCTTGGTGAGGTGGGTCTAGGTGAGGGGGGTCTAGGTGAGGTGGGTCTAGGTGAGGTGGGTCTAGGTGAGGAGGTCTAGGTGAAGGGGTCTAGGTGATGGGGGTCTAGTTGAGGGGGTCTAGGTGAGGGGGTCTAGGTGAGGTGGGTCTAGGTGAGGTGGGTCTAGGTGAGGGGGGTCTAGGTGAGGTGGGTCTAGGTGAGGTGGGTCTAGGTGAGGTAGGTCTAGGTGAGGTCTAGGTGAAGGGGTCTAGGTGATGGGGGTCTAGTTGAGGGGGTCTAGGTGAGGGGGTCTAGGTGAGGTGGGTCTAGGTGAGGGGGTCTAGGTGAGGTGGGTCTAGGTGAGGGGGTCTAGGTGAGGGGGGTCTACGTGAGGTAGGTCTAGGTGAGGTGGGTCTAGGTGAGGGGGTCTAGGTGAGGGGGTCTAGGTGAGGGGGTCTAGGTGAAGGGGTCTAGGTGAGGGGGTCTAGGTGAGGTGGGTCTAGGTGAGGGGGTCTAGGTGAGGGGGGTCTAGGTGAGGAAGTCTAGGTGAGGGAGTCTAGGTGAGGGGGTCTAGGTGAGGGGGTCTAGGTGAAGTGGGCCTAGGTGAGGGGGTCTATGTGAGGTGGGTCTAGGTGAGGTGGGTCTAGGTGAGGTGGGTCTAGGTAAGGTGAGTATAGGTGAGGGGGGTCTAGGTGAGGTGGGTCTAGGTGAGGGGGTCTAGGTGAGGGGGTCTAGGTGAGGGGGTCTAGGTGAGGGGGGTCTAGGTGAGGGGGGTCTAGGTGAGGTGGGTCTAGGTGAGGGGGTCTAGGTGAGGGGGTCTAAATGAGAGGGGGTCTAGGTGAGGGGGTCTAGAGAGGTGGGTCTAGGTGAGGGGGTCTAGGTGAGAGGGGGTCTAGGTGAGGGGGTCTAGAGAGGTGGGTCTAGGTGAGGGGGTCTAGGTGAGAGGGGGTCTAAGTGAGGGGGGTCTAGGTGAGGGGGTCTAGGTGAGGGGGGTCTAGGTGAGGGGTCAAGGTGAGGGGGGTATAGGTGAGGGGGTCTAGGTGAGGTGGGTCTAGGTGAGGGGGTCTAGGTGAGGGGGTCTAGGTGAGGGGGGTCTAGGTAAGGGGGGTCTAGGTGAGGGGGTCTAGGTGAGGGGGGTCTAGGTGAAGGGGTCTAGGTGAGGGGGGTCTAGGTGAGGGGGTCTAGGTGAGGTGGGTCTAGGTGAGAGGGGGTCTAGGTGAGGTGGGTCTAGGTGAGGGGGTCTTTGTGAGGTGGGTCTAGGTGAGAGGGTCTAGGTGAGGTGGGTCTAGGTGAAGGGGTCTAGGTGAGGGGGGTCTAGGTGAGGGGGGTCTAGGTGAGGGGGTCTAGGTGAGGGGATCTAGGTGAGGTGGGTCTAGGTGAGGGGGTCTAGGTGAGGGGGCCTAGGTGAGGGGGTCTAGGTGAGGGGGTCTAGGTGAGGTGGTCTAGGTGAAGGGGGTCTAGGTGAGGTGGGTCTAGGTGAGGGGGTCTTTGTGAGGTGGGTCTAGGTGAGAGGGTCTAGGTGAGGTGGGTCTAGGTGAGGGGGTCTAGGTGAGGGGGGTCTAGGTGAGGGGGTCTTGGTGAGGGGGTCTAGGTGAGAGGGGGGTCTAGGTGAGAGGGGGTCTAGGTGAGAGGGGGTCTAGGTGAGGGGGGGTCTAGGTGAGGTGGTCTAGGTGAGGTGGTCTAGGTGAGGGGGTCTAGGTGAGGTGGGTCTAGGTGAGGTGGGTCTAGGTGAGGTGGGTCTAGGTGAGGGGGTCTAGGTAAGGGGGGGCCTAGGTGAAGGGGTCTAGGTGAGGGGGTCTAGGTGAGGGGGTCTTGGTAAGGTGGGTCTAGATGAGGTGGGTCTAGGTGAGGGGGTCTAGGTGAGGTGGGTCTAGGTGAGGGGGTCTAGGTGAGGGGGGTCTAGGTGAGGGGGTCTAGGTGAGGGGGTCTAGGTGAGGTGGGTCTAGGTGAGGGGGGTCTAGGTGAGGTGGGTCTAGGTGAGGGGGTCTATGTGAGGTGGGTCTAGGTGAGGTGGGTCTAGGTGAGGGGGGTCTAGGTGAGGTGGTCTAGGTGAGGGGGTCTAGGTGAGGGGGTCTTGGTGAGGGGGGTCTAGGTGAGGTGGTCTAGGTGAGGGGGGTCTAGGTGAGGGGGTCTAAGTGACTGGGGTCTAGGTGAGGGGGGTCTAGGTGAGGTGGTCTAGGTGAGGGGGTCTAGGTGAGGGGGTCTAGGTGAGGGGGGTCTAGGTGAGGGGGTCTAGGTGAGGGTGGTCTAGGTGAGGGGGGTCTAGGTGAGGTGGTCTAGGTGAGGGGGTCTAGGTGAGGGGGGTCTAGGTGAGGTGGTCTAGGTGAAGGGGGTCTAGGTGAGGGGGTCTAGGTGAGGGGGTCTAGGTGAGGTGGTCTAGGTGAAGGGGGTCTAGGTGGGGGGGTCTAGGTGAGGGGGGTCTAGGTGAGAGGGTCTAGGTGAGGGGGGTCTAGGTGAGCGGGGTCTAGGTGAGGGGGTCTAGGTGATGGGGGTCTAGTTGAGGGGGGTCTAGGTGAAGTGGTCTAGGTGAGGGGGTCTAGGTGAGGGGTCTAGGTGAGGGGGTCTAGGTGAGGGGGGTCTAGGTGAGGGGGGTCTAGGTGAGGGGGTCTAGGTGAAATATCTCAAGGTTTTCCAGGGACAGAATAAGGATGAACACATTCCGCTCGAAAAGATTCTCTGGGAAATTCCTACCCAGAACATCTTGAAATGTTTACAACTTTGTTGTAGTTATACGTGAGAGTGAACAGGTCGCCGCGTGGTGTGGTGGTGTTCAACAGAACGCCCAATATGCACAACAAGGGAACACTAAGCTCTGCTTGCTTAAGTTTGCCAAAAGTTACCTGGAAAAAGATATTAGCTTAAATCGTTTCCGAAATAAGATCGAATTACTTCATCAAGCCAAAGCAACACAAATATGATAGATCAGTCATTTTATTCTATTCATAATATAAACCAGCTTATTTTATAGCTGGAGTAATCTACACAAAGCTTATTAAAGTTTTTACTAAAGGCAGACTCGCCAACATAACATACATAACAAGCATTCGTTAAGGTGTTCCCGACTCTGAAGCAACACCACCAAAGGTAATTGTGGAACAGGACCGACCACTTATAAACATAAGACTCCAGGCGTTCTGGTAACTACAAATACAATTAAGATTTCAATTGTTGCAGAAGTTAGAGGATGAGTGAACACAATCCTGGTGAGCTAGCGAGGACTATTTTACATTCAGAGAGGAACCCAGCCACTGTGAAGACTCGCCTCACCTGACACCAGTAACAGAAGGTGTTGATGTGCAATTGATAATAATCTCTCTCTCTCCCTCCCTCTCTCTCTCTCATCTCTCTCTCTCTATCACCTCTCTCTCTCATCGCTCGTGTAGCCACTGACGGCTGCAACACCCGCTCGTGTAGCCACTGACGGCTGCAACACCCGCTCGTGTAGCCACTGACGGCTGCAACACCCGCTCGTGTAGCCACTGACGGCTGCAACACCCGCTCGTGTAGCCACTGGCGGCTGCAACACCCGCTCGTGTAGCCACTGACGGCTGCAACACCCGCTCGTGTAGCCACTGACGGCTGCAACACCCGCTCGTGTAGCCACTGGCGGCTGCAACACCCGCTCGTGTAGCCACTGGCGGCTGCAACACCCGCTCGTGTAGCCACTGGCGGCTGCAACACCCGCTCGTGTAGCCACTGACGGCTGCAACACCCGCTCGTGTAGCCACTGACGGCTGCAACACCCGCTCGTGTAGCCACTGACGGCTGCAACACCCGCTCGTGTAGCCACTGGCGGCTGCAACACCCGCTCGTGTAGCCACTGGCGGCTGCAACACCCGCTCGTGTAGCCACTGGCGGCTGCAACACCCGCAACACCAGCTGAGGGCTGGGAAAGGTGACGTCAATGGTAGACATGTAGTCAGTCTTCACGAGGCTTGCTGCTGCTGCTGCTGTTGCTACTGTTGTCGCTGCTGCTGCTCCGGCTGCTGCTGCTTCTGCTGCTGCTGCTGCTGCTGCTGCTGCTGCTGCTGCTGCTCCTGCTGCTGCTGCTCCTGCTCCTGCTACTGCTAAAGGGGCGGGAAGATATATTCTGCAGTATATGTTGTTGTTGCTGTCGATGTTGCTCCAAGTTGGTGGTAATAGAGGGTGTGGGAATACACTGTTGTTCACCCCCAGGGGAAGCTGGAGCTCTCCCAGGGGTCACGAGAGGTGTCCACCCCTCCTCCCAGGGTCACGAGAGGTGTCCACCCCTCCTCCCAGGGTCACGAGAGGTATCCACCCCTCCTCCCAGGGTCACGAGAGGTGTCCACCCCTCCTCACACCCCTCCTCCCAGGGGTCACGAGAGGTGTCCACCCCTCCTCCCAGGGTCACGAGAGGTGTCCACCCCTCCTCCCAGGGTCACGAGAGGTGTCCACCCCTCCTCCCAGGGGTCACGAGAGGTGTCCACCCCTCCTCCCAGGGGTCACGAGAGGTGTCCACCCCTCCTCCCAGGGTCACGAGAGGTGTCCACCCTCCTCCCCCTCCTCCCAGGGTCACGAGAGGTGTCCACCCCTCCTCCCAGGGTCACGAGAGGTGTCCACCCCTCCTCCCAGGGTCACGAGAGGTGTCCACCCCTCCTCCCAGGGTCACGAGAGGTGTCCACCCCTCCCCCAGGGTCACGAGAGGTGTCCACCCCTCCCCAGGGGTCACGAGAGGTGTCCACCCCTCCTCCCAGGGTCACGAGAGGTGTCCACCCCTCCTCCCAGGGTCACGAGAGGTGTCCACCCCTCCTCCCAGGGTCACGAGAGGTGTCCACCCCTCCTCCCAGGGTCACGAGAGGTGTCCACCCCTCCTCCCAGGGTCACGAGAGGTGTCCACCCCTCCCAGTAAGTGCACCAATCAGCTTTAAACACAATTGTTATCAAATAAAACACTTCTCTGGTGTTTATAATAAAAATGTTAAAGTAACCACATTTTATTTAGAGAAGCTAATTAACACCGACGAAAACTTTTCTTCTGTGAAATTACATCAATATTTTTTGTTGTGTGTCTGGGTGGACCCGACACGACGACGACCCCGAGACGACGACCCCGAGACGACGACCCCAAGACGACGACTCCGAGACGACGACCCGAGACGACGACTCCGAGACGACCTCCCGAGAAGACGACCCGACACGACGACCCCGAGACGACGACCCCGACACGACGACGACCAGAAACGACGACCAGAGACGACGACCCCGAGACGACCACCTGTGACGACGACTCAGAAACGACCACCCGAGAAGACGACCCGACACGACTACCCCGAGACGACGACTCCGAGACGACCACCCGAGACGACGACCAGTGACGACGACCCCAAAACGACGACCAGAGACGACGACCCCGAGACGACGACCCCGAGACGACGACCTCGAGACGACGACCCTGAGACGACGACCAGAGACGACGACCAGAGACGACGACCCCGAGACGACGACCCCGAGACGACGACCCCGAGACGATGACCCCGAGACGACGACCCCGAGACGACGACCAGAGACGACGACCAGAGACGACGACCAGAGACGACGACCAGAGACGACGACCAGAGACGACGACCCCGAGACTACGACCCGAGACGACGACCAGAGACGACAACCCCAAAACTACGACCCGAGACGACGACCAGAGACGACGACCCCAAGACGACGACCAGAGACGACGACCAGAGACGACGACTCCGAGACGAAGACCAGTGACAACGACCCCGACACGACGACCCCGAGACGACGACCAGAGACGACGACCCGAGACGACGACTCCGAGACGACGACCCCGAGACGACGACCCCAAGACGACGACCCCAAGACGACGACCTGTAAGGACCCGACAGTGTTCACCCATCTTCAGTGTTTTTGGTGCAGTCAGGATGCCTCTTGTTATAGGAAGAGTTGGAGACAGAAGGATGGTGGTGGTTGTGATGGTGGCAACTGTTGTGGTGGTGGTTGTGATGGTGGCAACTGTTGTGGTGGTGGTTGTGATGGTGGCAACTGTTGTGGTGGTGGTTGTGGTGGTGGCAACTGTTGTGGTGGTGGTGGTTGTGATGGTGGCAACTGTTGTGGTGGTGGTTGTGATGGTGGCAACTGTTGTGGTGGTGGTTGTGGTGGTGGCAACTGTTGGTGGTTGTGGTGGTGGCAACTGTTGTGGTGGTGGTTGTGTGGTGGTGGTTGTGGTGGTGGCAACTGTTGTGGTGGTGGTTGTGATGGTGGCAACTGTGGTGGTTGGTGGTGGCAACTGTTGTGGTGGTGGTTGTGTGGTGGCAACTGTTGTGGTGGTGGTTGTAGTGGTAGCAACTGTTGTGGTGGTGGTGGTGGTGCAACTGTGTGGTGGTGGTGGATGGTGGCAACTGTTGTGGTGGTGGTTGTGATGGTGGTAACTGTTGTGGTGGTGGTTGTGATGGTGGCAACTGTTGTGGTGGTGGTTGTGTGGTAGTAACTGTTGTGGTGGTGGTTGTGATGGTGGCAACTGTTGTGGTGGTGGTTGTAGTGGTAGTAACTGTTGTGGTGGTGGTTGTGATGGTGGCAACTGTTGTGGTGGTGGTTGTGATGGTGGCAACTGTTGTGGTGGTGGTTGTGACTGTTGTGGTGGTGGTAGTAACTGTTGTGGTGGTGGTTGTGATGGTGGCAACTGTTGTGGTGGTGGTTGTGATGGTGGCAACTGTTGTGGTGGTGGTTGTGATGGTGGCAACTGTTGTGGTGGTGGTTGTGATGGTAGTAACTGTTGTGGTGGTGGTTGTGATGGTGGCAACTGTTGTGGTGGTGGTTGTGATGGTGGCAACTGTTGTGGTGGTGGTTGTTGTGGCAACTGTTGTGGTGGTGTGATGGTGGCAACTGTTGTGGTGGTGGTTGTGATGGTGGCAACTGTTGTGGTGGTGGTTGTGATGGTGGCAACTGTTGTGGTGGTGGTTGTGATGGTGGCAACTGTTGTGGTGGTGGTTGTGATGGTGGCAACTGTTGTGGTGGTGGTTGTGATGGTGGCAACTGTTGTGGTGGTGGTTGTGATGGTGGCAACTGTTGTGGTGGTGGTTGTGATGGTGGCAACTGTTGTGGTGGTGGTTGTGATGGTGGCAACTGTTGTGGTGGTGGTTGTGATGGTGGCAACTGTTGTGGTGGTGGTTGTGATGGTGGCAACTGTTGTGGTGGTGGTGGTGATGGTGGCAACTGTTGTGGTGGTGGCAACTGTTGTGGTGGTGGTGTGATGGTGGCAACTGTTGTGGTGGTGGTTGTGATGGTGGCAACTGTTGTGGTGGTGGTTGTGATGGTGGCAACTGTTGTGGTGGTGGTTGTGATGGTGGCAACTGTTGTGGTGGTGGTTGTGATGGTGGCAACTGTTGTGGTGGTGGTTGTGATGGTGGCAACTGTTGTGGTGGTGGTTGTGATGGTGGCAACTGTTGTGGTGGTGGTTGTGATGGTGGCAACTGTTGTGGTGGTGGTTGTGATGGTGGCAACTGTTGTGGTGGTGGTTGTGGTGGTGGCAACTGTTGTGGTGGTGGTTGTGGTGGTGGCAACTGTTGTGGTGGTGGTTGTGATGGTGGCAACTGTTGTGGTGGTGGTTGTGGTGGTGGCAACTGTTGTGGTGGTGGTTGTGATGGTGGCAACTGTTGTGGTGGTGGTTGTGGTGGTGGCAACTGTTGTGGTGGTGGTTGTGATGGTGGCAACTGTTGTGGTGGTGGTTGTGATGGTGGCAACTGTTGTGGTGGTGGTTGTGATGGTGGCAACTGTTGTGGTGGTGGTTGTGATGGTGGCAACTGTTGTGGTGGTGGTTGTGATGGTGGCAACTGTTGTGGTGGTGGTTGTGATGGTGGCAACTGTTGTGGTGGTGGTTGTGATGGTGGCAACTGTTGTGGTGGTGGTTGTGATGGTGGCAACTGTTGTGGTGGTGGTTGTGATGGTGGTAACTGTTGTGGTGGTGGTTGTGATGGTGGCAACTGTTGTGGTGGTGGTTGTGATGGTGGCAACTGTTGTGGTGTGGTTGTGATGGTGGCAACTGTTGTGGTGGTGGTTGTGATGGTGGCAACTGGTTGTGGTGGTGGTGGTGGTGGTGGTTGTGGTAACTGTTGTGGTGGTGGTTGTGGTGGTGGCAACTGTTGTGGTGGTGGTTGTGATGGTGGTGGCAACTGTTGTGGTGGTGGTTGTGATGGTGGCAACTGTTGTGGTGGTGGTTGTGGTGGTGGCAACTGTTGTGGTGGTGGTTGTGATGGTGGCAACTGTTGTGGTGGTGGTTGTGGTGGTGGCAACTGTTGTGGTGGTGGTTGTGATGGTGGCAACTGGTTGTGGTGGTGGTTGTGATGGTGGCAACTGTTGTGGTGGTGGTTGTGATGGTGGCAACTGTTGTGGTGGTGGTTGTGATGGTGGCAACTGTTGTGGTGGTGGTTGTGATGGTAGCAACTGTTGTGGTGGTGGTTGTGATGGTGGCAACTGTTGTGGTGGTGGTTGTGATGGTGGCAACTGTTGTGGTGGTGGTTGTGATGGTGGCAACTGTTGTGGTGGTGGTTGTGATGGTGGCAACTGTTGTGGTGGTGGTTGTGGTGGTGGCAACTGTTGTGGTGGTGGTTGTGATGGTGGCAACTGTTGTGGTGGTGGTGTGATGGTGGCAACTGTTGTGGTGGTGGTTGTGATGGTGGCAACTGTTGTGGTGGTGGTTGTGATGGTGGCAACTGTTGTGGTGGTGGTTGTGGTGGTGGCAACTGTTGTGGTGGTGGTTGTGATGGTGGCAACTGTTGTGGTGGTGGTTGTGATGGTGGCAACTGTTGTGGTGGTGGTTGTGATGGTGGCAACTGTTGTGGTGGTGGTTGTGATGGTGGCAACTGTTGTGGTGGTGGTTGTGATGGTGGCAACTGTTGTGGTGGTGGTTGTGATGGTGGCAACTGTTGTGTTGTGGGTGGTTGTGATGGTGGCAACTGTTGTGGTGGTGGTTGTGATGGTGGCAACTGTTGTGGTGGTGGTTGTTGTGGTGGTGGCAACTGTTGTGGTGGTGGTTGTGATGGTGGCAACTGTTGTGGTGGTGGTTGTGGTGGTGGCAACTGTTGTGGTGGTGGTTGTGATGGTGGCAACTGTTGTGGTGGTGGTTGTGGTGGTGGCAACTGTTGTGGTGGTGGTGTTGTGATGGTGGCAACTGTTGTGGTGGTGGTTGTGGTGGTGGCAACTGTTGTGGTGGTGGTTGTGATGGTGGCAACTGTTGTGGTGGTGGTTGTGGTGGTGGCAACTGTTGTGGTGGTGGTTGTGATGGTGGCAACTGTTGTGGTGGTGGTTGTGATGGTGGCAACTGTTGTGGTGGTGGTTGTGATGGTGGCAACTGTTGTGGTGGTGGTTGTGATGGTGGCAACTGTTGTGGTGGTGGTTGTGATGGTGGCAACTGTTGTGGTGGTGGTTGTGATGGTGGCAACTGTTGTGGTGGTGGTTGTGATGGTGGCAACTGTTGTGGTGGTGGTTGTGGATGGTGGCAACTGTTGTGGTGGTGGTTGTGATGGTGGCAACTGGTTGTGGTGGTGGTTGTGATGGTGGCAACTGTTGTGGTGGTGGTTGTGATGGTGGCAACTGTTGTGGTGGTGGTTGTGATGGTGGCAACTGTTGTGGTGGTGGTTGTGGTGGTGGCAACTGTTGTGGTGGTGGTTGTGATGGTGGCAACTGTTGTGGTGGTGGTTGTGATGGTGGCAACTGTTGTGGTGGTGGTTGTGATGGTGGCAACTGTTGTGGTGGTGGTTGTGATGGTGGCAACTGTTGTGGTGGTGGTTGTGATGGTGGCAACTGTTGTGGTGGTGGTTGTGATGGTGGCAACTGTTGTGTGGTGGTTGTGTGGTGGCAACTGTTGTGGTGGTGGTTGGTGGTGGCAACTGTTGTGTGGTGGTGGATGGTGGTTGTGATGGTGGCAACTGTTGTGGTGGTGGTTGTGATGGTGGTAACTGTTGTGGTGGTGGTTGTGATGGTGGCAACTGTTGTGGTGGTGGTTGTGATGGTGGCAACTGTTGTGGTGGTGGTTGTGATGGTGGCAACTGTTGTAGGGGTGGTTGTGATGGTGGCAACTGTTGTGGTGGTGGTTGTGGTGGTGGTAACTGTTGTGGTGGTGGTTGTGGTGGTGGCAACTGTTGTGGTGGTGGTTGTGATGGTGGTAACTGTTGTGGTGGTGGTTGTGATGGTGGCAACTGTTGTGGTGGTGGTTGTGATGGTGGCAACTGTTGTGGTGGTGGTTGTGGTGGTGGTAACTGTTGTGGTGGTGGTTGTGGTGGTGGCAACTGTTGTGGTGGTGGTTGTGATGGTGGTAACTGTTGTGGTGGTGGTTGTGGTGGTGGCAACTGTTGTGGTGGTGGTTGTGATGGTGGCAACTGTTGTGGTGGTGGTTGTGATGGTGGTTGTGATGGTGGCAACTGTTGTGGTGGTGGTTGTGATGGTGGCAACTGTTGTGGTGGTGGTTGTGGTGGTGGTAACTGTTGTGGTGGTGGTTGTGATGGTGGCAACTGTTGTGGTGG